AAGCAAAATGATATTTCGTACCAAATTGACATATACGACGTATTAGAAGAGGCAGATCGATCGCTCACTATTCAAGAAGATCTCCAGTATACCGGGCCACCCTTTCTACCCTTTCGTCCCCAAAACGAAAGAAAGTTCAGATCGCCTACGAGTTCCCAGCAGTCAACTCTCTAAGGTTAATACCCAGCGTTTTAATTAGCTATTTTTCAAATATAGAGTAGCTATTTCATGTATTGTGGATCTTGAATGTTAAATTCCGTCAATGCTTCTACATGGAATTTTTTAAGCCTTGTAATTGTTTCTGCTGTTTTTAATGTAAGTGTTCTTGGTTTTTAGCATGTATTTTTGCAAAACAATAAAGACCTTTTATTTTTCTCTACTGGGTAGTGCAGTTGGTTTCGTTCCCTAATACCTATCCTCTGGAACTTTAGAGTCCCTTATCTTCTAATAATCCTACACCAGTAAAACATCTCCGGTCTTTTCACAACTAAGTAGTGATGAATAATGCATGTTGCCTACATGGACGACAAGAACTTCGATGAAGTTTATAAAAAAACAAACGTCGCGCTCCCTCTGAAAAATAAAAATAAATGTAAATTGTTATTTCTTATCCTGTGTGTGTACTCATGAAGCACTTATGAATTCTTAAGAAGACTTTTAAGCGTGTCCCTGCATTCCCGATGGAATTGGAATTTGAACGTGTTGGTTTTGAGGAGAGGGGAAAGCCGGAGTACACGAAGAAAAACCTCTCGGAGCAACTGGACAGAACTAATAACAAACTCAACCCACATATGGAGTGGACGCCAAGACCGGATTTAAACCCGAGCCACATTAGCCGTGGGAGGCGAGTGCTCTCACCACTGCGCGACTACCCTTACTCTCGGCCAAGCTTTCCAGCTGAAAAAAGGCAGTTCATCAATTCAACTATCCCAGCTTAATCTCGAAAGCCACACAGAGGGTCCAACTAATTGCACTGACTCAGATAAATATTAGTATAGCTCATTTGATCTCTATCATAATCTGCCGGCTTTACAGAAAAATATGTACACCATTTTTATTCAGTCTCCACGCCAATTAGAATTTAAGTGGATTTCCACTGTCGCGTACTGATTTTTACTTAAGTACGCAAGTAAATGTTACGCGCCTAAATGAAATAGAGGCAATGTATGAATTAAAGGTCGCGCATAACGTAAATACCTCGCTCAACACCTACTTTTACGATCGACTTTTCTTAGTTGCCGTGTATTAATGCACGTAAAAATTACGCGGCAGTGGAAGTCCACCCTTTGTTAACAGTAACAAATCGGATATAAAATTTTGTTACCCGACGCGTACGACTGCGTGGATCTCCGTAGACTGTTTTATATCGCCACTTTGGTTAGGGCGTATTGAAAAGCAGGAATCCGGAATCCGGAATCCGGAACCGGAGCCGGAAACGGAACCGGAACCGGAACCGGAACCGGAACTTAAATTGAGACCAGGGTAAACTGGGAAGCACTGAAACCAGTTTCCGATACCCGTGTGGAAATAAAATTCAAGATGGCGTCCTCTGTTATCATTGTTTTGAGAAATTTTCAGCACAGTGATCGTGAGACCAACTATATATTCACCGCGCGAAAGAGCTTACGTTTGGTTATTTAGTTCACGCATGTGTTCTACTTTATCAAACATGGTTACGCATCACGCTTAGACACTTTTACCAGAAAAAACAAACAAACAAACAAAATATTCAGTTGTAGTACATGACTTTATAAAAAAAAGAACATAACCACTAAAATTCAAAAAACCGGCCCATGCTGTTCCGCCGCAGACTCGAGCATAAATTCAAGGAACAACAACTTCACATCTTCACACGTACTCACATTTCAATCGATTCATCGCTTTGTCGCGATCTGTAAACGAAAACAGATATGTTTTTATAAAATGGTAACATTTTTTCAAACTCAGTTAAACGGAAAAGAATGAAAACGTTTATATTCTTACCACAGGTAGCCCAAGCTCACCATGAGAGCCCTGAACAACATTATCCTACTTAGCTAATTAATTATTCATAAAGCAAGAAAATTATAAGACGTTGTACGGAGAAATGTTCTTTGCTCACTAAATTAGCAAAATGTACATTGAATATCGCTTTGAAGCTTACCTTTAGCGTCCTCTTGTTTTTCTTTGTATTCTGACTGCATTTCAGACCTCCTAGGCACTGTTTAAGGCCTTTTTTGGAGCAACAGTTTTTCACCCAGATGACAGTAGGATGAAAAATCAAATCAAATCCCTACGGGGGCAATAAAAGGTGTGCCGTTCTTTAACCAGTCATCCCAAACTCATGTACTCGATGAGGACATGTTAGTTGACCTCTTTGTGTTTTGTGGTATTCTTGCTTCATTCCTCGACCGAATTTCCCTGTCAGTTCCAGTACAGTGATCCCTCGCCCGGAATCTTCTTTATCTGTAAACATGTAGGTCGGTCGAAAGACCCTCGGTGCGAAATTGAAATTGTCCACTGCTTGCTCGTTGTCTGCACCCGCAAATGAAGATTCAAAATTGTTTCCCGAAAGCTCAATAGCCCCTTTTACAGTTAGCGGGTGCAAACGAAGCTGGAGTTGATCTTGTTTTAATACAACCCTCCCTGCTTTATTACGTAAGTCAAGAGGTTTGTATCAAAACAAGGTCAACCTGAGCCTCACATTCACTCAAAGGCTAGGATACTACGCCCACAACTGTAAAATAGTCTATTGCAGTGCTTTAGTTTGAATAGGAGCCGGCTAAGTAATCGGCTCCTGGTTTGAATAATAAACGGCTCTACTGCTTGGCTCTTTTGCCCTCGGGCAACGCACGAGGGGAATAAATCACATAACCCCTCGCTTCAGGCCGATAACCCTTACATATCTGAGCTTCTCGTATAATAAGATGTCATAAAGTTTTATTTGCATGAGAATAAAAAAACATACATATCAATGGTTTCACACTTGAAACTTGAAGCAACTAGTGAATGGCCTAATCTTCTTCTGGAATCCGCGGGGGGTACTCCTGGGAATTCTTGGTAGGGGTGTGCCGCCCGGTTCTTCAAATCCAGACCCGATTTCAGACCAAAAAATGTAATTTTCCACACCCATTTTCAGACCTGGCCTTTAGGCAGAAATTATTGCATCATTACTTAGATTAGAGCGCAAACAAAAAAATTCTTCAAATCCATTTCGAATTGGTATATTTTCTTTCTTTCTTATTCATTTGGAATTGAAATGATCAAGACGTTCATACACTCCCGTAGTTCCCTCAAAAACCATACCCGATTCCAGACCAAAATGGGCAAAGTGCATACCCGTTTTCAGACCAAAACGGCGCAAAAACCCTACCCGATGGGGCGGCACATACCTATATAGCTTATATAACGGAGTACCCCCCCCCCCCCCCGGGGTTCTGGAATAACGAGCTCCTCTGAGCCCTGAGGTTTAAAGAGAAAAACTTGGTCATTCAATACAGCGGGAAGTCTTGTCTTTTGCCGTAGGCGGAGCTTCTTAATTACTCTTGTTGTGATTTATAGGCTTTGATAGTTTGTGCCACAGTCTCCGTCAAAATTGTTGGGACACTGTTATCTTCTTCCCTCCCAATGTTGGTGTGCAAAATGTGGTGAGCTAACTGCGATAAACAACATTGGGAGGACGAGGGGACGGGCCAGAAGTGAAAAAAAAAAAGTGTTGGGTGGAAGTGTCCCAACTATTTTTGTCTGAAACTGTGTTGGAGAAGGTATTTAAGGAATTTGAAGAGTTGTTGACAGATACCGAGCTGAAATTGTAATTCTGTCACAGACGCCTTTGTAATGTGTTGCAGGGATGTCTATAATGATTTTGCGAATCAAAGTTTCTACCGCAGTGAACAGAGTTACTTTCATGGATCGGCTTTGATGTAAAGACAAACGTAACACTGAGAATTCCCAGTTGTCGAAAATATTTACTAGTCATGGATATTAATTTGGAAAAAATAGCATAACGTCAAGTGAATGTTGTGGCGCGGATTTTTGTCCGGTTCGTAGGATAGGTTTGTCTTGAAATTTCAAGGTGTTGCAGTGAATCAATGTTAATGAAAGTTTCAGACATTATTATATACATTATGAAGATTATGTGAAGAGATTTTAAAACAATTCTTGAGTCGTTTCAGAGATATATTGTATATAAAAAAGAGCTAAAAGTCCAAATTTTGAATGAAGTCGCACTTAGACAGGTGGTGAGAAAAAGGGGTTAGTTTTTAAGATCGCAAGAACGAAAATACAACAAAATTTCCTAGCATCGAAATATGATATTGAGCAGCACTCTGATCCTACTGAAGAATAATTTGAGTCCTTTATAACATTTTAATTAAATAATCTATGACGGCTATTGAAAATTGAAGGTTTGAAATATATTTTCGTTTAGTCGAATTCAAACATACAGAATTTTTTACTCCTTACAGAGATTATTTGCTAATTAAAACACCAAACTTTAAGTTCCTAGTGTTGGATTTTCAGTAGCTGGTCTAGATCGCGCAAAATTAGGCGTTTATCAATTTCAAAGTTTTTTGTGTATTGTTGTCATAGTAATATCGATTTTACTAAAACCTCCATTTTGACAAATTTCAATCTATAGTCAATCATCGGTGAAAATTTTAAAGCGATCAGACAAGGACAAATATTGGTATGGCCTCTGAAAAATAATTATTGACAAGATTTTGAAAATGTAAGAGCGCTGCTTGTAGCATATATATTATGTACCTTTTGCGAGCACAATCTATCAAAGCATAGTTGTTTATGTTTTTGCTGTTGTTGTTGGTTTTTTTTCGTTAAATCATAAGTTACAGTCTCACTCAATCACGATTCGTATGACATACGACTCACGTAAAATGGATTAATTTATAGATACAACAGAGGAACAGTTCCAACACACATTCCATTTCTTTTTTCCTCTGAGAGCTACTTTATGCCCTGAAATTACATATTAGACTTTTGAAATCCAGAAAATCGCTGTTTAATCAACGATAATAATAACAATAATCGATTATGACATCTCTGTCCACTTTCGAGCGTGGTATGAACCCATCCTTAGAATTTGCATTTCTTGTATCTTCACAATCCCACCGGAACCACTCACTTCTAACCTTCATTCCTCGCACATACTGGCACAAGTGAGTGTTAGATTTCAGCAAGACGAATGGGGAGTCAGTGGGAAGAATTATGGGATTTGTGGCGAACCCATCTGCTCGACAGCAGTAGTAGATAACGGTGTCTTTACCATAAGTGCCTTCTGGAATCTGACCACCATATCTGTTGCCGTTGTCATCATCCTCGTCATCCCATTTTATCTGTCCTTCTTTAAAACCTGTGTGTGATTGATAGATTATACATCAAAGGGATTTCTTCAGTACCACCAGAGGGTCATTGAGATCCATACGGATTTATCTTAGCTTGGCCGTTTCATCTCTTACTGAAGTCGCCCGTTTTAAGACGCTTTGTTTTAATCATGGTATTGTAATCATTATCGTCATCATCATTATTATTTGCCAAATTGAATCTCATAACTAGGTGGATTATGTGCCGATGAATATACTGTGAGTCCAGGAGAGTGACGTTTCGAAAACCAGTGCAGTAATCATCTCCAGAGTCAACGTGACTTGTCTTTCGTCAATTGATGGTATGAAAATCTGTTTATTTACCTGATTGGTCAATTAAGTCATGACTTAAGGTGACTCGACCCAGTTTTTTTTGGGGGGGTACCATCCTAATTTGAAGCTCTCTGGTATCTCCACCTTTACTTTTATCGTAAGTCTAACACATAGAATGGATAACATATAGATCAATCTACAATATAACATAAAATTTTTGGCGATCGGAGTAAATGTCACGTGGTTATAATGCCACGCCCCTTTGAGGTCTGAGTCGAAAATCTGCTGTTGCCGGCATTTTTTCGTGAAAATCTCTCGGCTACACATAGTGCGCATTAGTGCCTTGCGCTGAACAGAGTTTCACCAAAATCGCAAAGACCCAATTCGAGAAATTCAGCGCGCATTTACAAGGCCCTAAAGCTTTTTGCTGACTTGCAAGGACCCATCTGTTATAACGATGCCCAAAATAAAGGGATGAATCTCATAGTTTATTAGATATAATCCGTGTAAAGTTTGCTTATCATTTTCGCATAAATTATGACCTAAATTTGGAAACCGCTGAATTTCTCGAATTTACAGTTTAAAGAGAGCAATTTCTGGTTTGATATTTATTCCTTTATAAGTCTTTTATTATTCAACAAAAATAACACTTGGCGTCCTACTTGCCTTATACAAACGACCGGTTTCAATAGACCGGCGAAATTTCTCATTTTATTAAAGCCCTGAGGTTACGACAACTTCGAGTTAAACTGATTTCACGGGTTGTCAAAGAGTCCAGCGATTCCTTTTTCCCAGGTGAGCGCCGACTCATTTCGCTTCAATATTCAGGAATGCTCTCGATCTTTTTACGCTTTCATTGCCTTTCGCCCGACATGTTTTGCACGGCGTTTAGTCATGCGAAACCTCCACGAACACCTCGCGCGAGGTAACTTTATCCCGATTCTAAAAATAACTGGAGACGAGTTACCTATGGAATAGGGTGTATATGGGGGATGCCCTCTCTGTCCCCTTTATGGTCTCTTGCTTAAACTGACGATCAAAGACAAATAACTAGAAACAAACAACCATGTTAACCCCCACGACGGGCTGTCTAAACAGTCTAGCTCACCGCCTAAATTATATATTAAAATTGGCTTGAACAAACCAAAAAACAAACAAACAAATAAATAACACAAACCTTCGGGACATTCCCCTTTCTTGTTAATACAGTATTGACCTCTTGGCCAGGGAAGATTGTAAACAGAAGCTGTGTCTTTTGTTTTCATACAGAAATTTTGGAACATATTATTTCTGTAGTATGGACCAGCCAAATCAAATGGAGATGACCACTTGTTGTTTGCACGAGTATCTTCAGTGTCGTGTTTGCGATATCCCGAGTGCCACGGGAAGTTTGATCCCTTGGGGCATCCTGACTTAGGCTTGGGAAGACCGTATGTCCCCTTAGGCCAGGTTAAAGGAATCCGCACTTCGGGATCTAATTATAATAAGATACCGTCAAGCACTGAATAGATACTTTTTGTTTCTAGTTCTGAGTCGTGCTCAACATGTCCTTTGGGGCTAACGAATTCACTCGTGATCTTTGTTGACCTTCCTGAAAAATCTACCCATTGTTCGTCATTGCTCGACAGGCCGGGGAACCCCAGGTAGATCAAGTAAAACACTTAGGTGAGCTAACCGTCCTCTCCCAATTCAAATTGATCAGGTTAACATGATAGATTAGGGGGCCGTATGAGAGATTATATGAACGGGAGGATTACCCCACCACCTGGGTGACCCCACCTTCATGTAAACAGGCCTCAGATCAACAATGTGTACGCATTTCTTTAGCATTACTGCATAAAGATTGCCTTTGAATTATTACTTAAAAGTTTACCAGGTTTTCTGACAAAAGTAACGTTCTTAATTTTATAACATTTCCATCGATGCTATCTATTTTTTACTTCCTCTATAACAGACTCGTACCTATAGGTTTTATGGTTTTCTTAAGGCGAGGATATTCATTTAATGCCCTTATGACCGCCGCCTTGCGCGCTTTGAGTAGAGAATTAGAATGAACGCATCGTGCGGACCACTGTTGATCCAAGACGGAGTAAAAAGCAGGATCAAAAGCTTTAGTAATTGGCACCAGTTTAATTCCAATGGGCTCAGGCAGGTTTGGTCCTCCAGACTTGAATACCACCTTATGCTCCCCAAATTTGGTGTTCTATGACATTGACTCTTTGAACGCGTTAAAATCGACTTTTAAGGAGGCACTGAATCCCACGTAACTTCCAGACATAGATACCGAATTTTGCGACTAAAAACAGAAATGAAATGTATTAGGTTCGTAATAAATCTTATTCCCGAAGGATCATGTGGTGCACACAAAAACCTAAAAGTTTCATGAAATATAATCTGCGTTTATCTAAAGTGACTTTTAGTTGAGGTTCTCAACATGGTGTAATCCAGCATTTGAAAACGTTATATAATGTCTGTAAAAAATGCTCCGAAAAGAAGAGATATTGAGCATGATGAACATCGTCAATGATTTGTAGACATAAAACAGCAAAGTTTGGGAAAGGTCTTAGAGAACAACAAATTCTAATTAAAAGCTGTATAGCCGGGTCCGATGGCGACCACTTATCAACTATTAAATGTAACTTCGGAAGAAAAAAACAAAAAGTCAAAAACATGCAAGAAAAAAAATGAAACAACTAACGGACTATGCAATAATTATCCAGAGGGGGGGCGGGTAGATGAGATTGGGAAATAAATAAAAAATGCCGCAACACTAAGTAAGAATCTCCTTGCATTTGGAAAACATTAATTTCACCTACCTCCCCTTACATAACTATTGTATAAAATCACACTCACCCCATTCACACAGTTACATACAG